CTGCCTAAAAGAAAATTCATGATTTTTGATTAACAACCACAACAAAAGATTAGCCCTCACCAGGCAAGAAGCATGAATGTCATTTTTTTACCTACTTATTCAACATACTTATTATACAAAAGTCTGGACATGAAGACTTATGGCAAACTGTAACACTGAAATGAGGGAATCCTATTGTTTCTCTCTCTCTCTGCAGGAATGCACCATATGGGAGGAAAGAGAAAGATGGAGATATTTTGTCTCCAGTGGGAATTTAATATGAATTATATGACATCCAAAGTGGAGTCTCACAGCACCCACTGCAGAGATGTCAACATACAGGTAGGTATATTTTACCTTTCTGGTGTTCCACAGTGTTCTGTAATTTTTTTAATCTTTAAGCAGTCAGAAATAGAACTGATGTCTGCAAACTGGGGAAAAATTTTGGGTATTTTCACACTGAAACTGATTAGCTGCACAGTAAATATCTCAGTGTCTACACATGCACCCGTATTAGGCTAGAGTAAACCAATTTACTCTGGAGCAGGATAGTACTTGTAAATACAAGTACCATCCTGCTGCAGAGTAAAAATCTCCACAGCAACACACATGTAGATGGTGCCCGGCTGGCTGGGGCACGAGGGTGCTTCAGTGTGGGGGCTCTCTGCTGGCTAGACCCACGCTGAAACTCCCTCATGCCCCAGGCAGCCCCTGCACAGCACATTGAACTGAGGGAGGTGGTAGACCCCAGCTGGCAGGACTGCTCTGCTTGGGCTCCACATGCTGTGCCTGAATAAACTACAGAGCTTATTGCTCCAGACTTAAATGCTCCTAGGTGCATGTTCAAACGGTGTGCCCAGGAGCAATTAACTCCACAGCAATAAGCTCCACAGTTTATTCAAGCACTATAATTGTATGTATAGACATGCCCCATGTAGTTCAACTTACTTGACTTCCCAGTAAGGAAAATGAATCCATATGGTACTGTGCTACTGTACATAAACTGGTCATTTACAGCTAGCTTGTGTATTTCTACATCACACTGCAGCCTGCATTTTACCAAGACAGAGGAGAACGAGCTTTTTACTGTGCATTTTTTGTTTGCGTATTTTAAAAATGTTCTTCTTCCTTCTTGCCCCTCTCCCTCATTAAAAAATATTGAAGGAAACTGAGGGAAATATTGAAAAACATTGGGTCCAGAAAGTTGCATCATACAAGGCAGTACATCTCTTTTAATTCTGATGGACACAGGAATGGGCTGACTAGATAAACATAAGGAAAAATACTTTGAATGACGCACTGTACTCTTCTGTCCAATGCACCATGCTTCCAGTTGAGTTAGCCTTTGCAAGATGCATTATGAACAATTAATAGGTCTGATGAGCTCTAGAATGTATCCATATGGAAACTGATTATCGATGCTTTGCACCTGTGATTTAAGTAATCAATCTAATCCTAAAATTTGCATTTGATATGTTTCAAAGATTTGTTTTTGTAAAGACAGAATGTGAACATCAAGACCATACCTAAAAGATACAACTGGTTCTTGCAGGGGGTGGAAAAAAGGAAATGGATTAGAGTGAGTGAAAACAGTATTTTAGTGGACAAAAAAATTCTGTGGCTGGCCTGAGAATTGCCTTATTTTGGGGGAGGGGCTGCAGATTGCATTCAGGGATTGTGGATGGGTAAGCGCTACCCAGTCTAACACTGCTGTATAACTGCTTATAAGTTGAACATTGTAATAAGGAAAAAAAATCCTTCCTATATTAAAATAATAAAAGCAACAGAGTTTGTAGTTTACCTGTGACATTAAATTATTCTGCTCATTTTCAGACAGTGTCTAGTGCTGCAAGGAAGGGCAAGAAGTGGAAGAAAAAGACAGCAAGATACCTAAGAGTTTGACTTGGCACTTCAGGAAGCCAGGACTTTGACCCAGTCAACAGCCCAGCTAGTAGGGGCTGCACTATAACCCCTAGTTCAGACACAAGCTGTACTCAAGTTGCACTTTTGAAAGCAGGTGGAAAAGTGAAAGGACTTGACCAGTTGAAAGACTGAGCCAGGATGTCCATCTTATTTGCATGATTCAGCTGTTAAGTCACCTCTTGTCATAGGCTAGCATGGCAATGCAGCAAGTGCAGGTAGTGTTGGTGGCACCTCATGACAGACTTCTTTATAAAGCAAAGAGAAAGTCCCAAGAAGAAATTTAACAGAAAGGCCTGGGCTCCATGCAGCCATAGATGCCTAAAGTTCTCAGCTTGGAGAGAACTAGCACTCTACTGTTGTGTTGTCTTTCCTGCCACAGTATTTCATGAATGAACTGAGCAGGAAGCCTCAACCTCAAAGCCACTTGCTTGGGCTGTGACCTCTCCTACCCCACCAAAAACAGAAAGAAAAAAAAAGACTAAAGAGTAGTTGTGGTCAAGATAGATAGGTTTATAATTCTTGTTCAGTGAGTGGAAGATGGGCAACTTTAACATCCTATGTTTTGAGACCATCTGTCTGTTAAATTTAATTTTGTAAGCTCAAAAAAAATAAAACCAGATTACAGAAACCTCCTTCTCTTGTACTACTGTAGGGTGCTGTTTTAGTCATAGTTAGGGACCTACTGAAATTGTGATTTTGCAATTTACATAGAAACTGTGGTTTTGGGTAGACCCCATGAAAAATCACAATCTTTGCACTTTTGGCAGGCTCCCTAGGGAAAATGAAACAAAACAACTCACTGAAAATAAAATGCTGTCTCCCTATGGGGAGCCAGCAGTCCTTGTGGCCGCTGCGGCCTGGCTGCACAGCCTGCTGGGAGTGTGGGGGGGATAAGTGTCAGGCTGCTGCTGGCACAGCAAATTGGCTGCCACCCCTGTCCTTCATTGCTGATTGGCTTTGAGGGCTGTCTGTCACATGGTCTCACCCCTTGCTAATCATTGGTGAGGGGAGGGACCACACAATAGACAGGACTTGCAACCAATGAACAGCAAGGGATGGGGCCACTGGAGACTCTTGGCCAGAGGCCTTGGGGGTGGAGGGCTTGCTGCACTCCACCCATGAAAACGGTTGCCAGCTCCACAGTCTGTGCATGAAATCATCCAGCGGCCACCTCGAGTTTCACAGACCCCTAGTCATAGCAGTGTTCTTACGGGGTCTTTTTTCAAGCTTTTATTTCCAACCTCCTGGGCAACCCAGCCTCAGTCATGAAAGCTATGATCTCCATAATCGCAGCTTGTGTTGCTGCTCCCGGCCTCTAACAGACATGGGAATGGCCTGTTCATTTTTTAACCCTTTATAGAAGGAGAGGATAGAGCTGGTAGAGAAAACTGAACTGGGCATAAGCAGTCATGTCATGTGCCAGCTTTAGACCCGAGCTGAAGCAAGTTGACCCCTGCAACAAAATTGCTTACTTCCGTCCTCTAAGTGACGTCTTAAGGCAGGACGACAACCTATTAATCTCCTATCAAAACTGGTACAACAAGACATTTGCCAATACTGCTTTGAAGGTGGTCAGGGACCATTAAATAGCATGATGGACTAATATGAAGGCTCACTGGACAGAGGGGCTTAAATCACACCTCTCCTCCAGCTGCTTTGGTAGGTATATTTTGGCACATGCAACCTGGCCAAACAGGCAAGGCTGCTCCTTTACATTGGTCAGAAAAGCAGTTAGCAGGTGTGGAAAAAGTTCGTCCCATTTAAACCACAGTGACCAAAGGCCAAACAGAAAAAAAAGATGGCTAACATTTCTGAATGAGGTCACTCTGCTGCATCCTCGGGGAAGGGGTGGGGGGAGAAAAAGAAGAAACAAAAAGCAGGCAACTGAACTCAGCCATATTTGAGGCAGCCAGGTGAACTGAGGCTGAACTGACGTCACCGCAGGCTGACAGTAGGGGCCAGACTGCTCTGCCGATTTACAGAGGAGGGAGAAATGAGAGGAGTGAGAAAAGGGCAGGAGAAACGGCAGCCTGGGCCATGCTGCGCACACCCACATCCGAGAGCACACAGCCCATACACGTAGGATCCTCAGGCTACCCTGTTGTCATGGTTACTACCATATATGGGTAAGCTGAGCCATTTGACTGTGAGCATTTGGGCTTTTTTTGGTTTAAAACTGTGGCTGCAGCCTCAGAGAGGAGGGGCCGAGGGAACGACTGCCTTGAGGTTCCAGATACCGGCCGTTGCTAAGAACACTTGAAAGTCACTCCCTTTAACTATTCGGACAAAAATATCTAGCTACTGTGGCAGTACGGAAAGGCAGGGGGAGTTTCCATAACCGTCTGGATGATTTGTCTCCAAGTGACACGCCAGGACACCATTCTTCACTCAGAACAGGAATAAGACACCCAAATTCTTGTTGTTTCTGAAACGCTCAATCTTGCTGTTGCATTTCCACCGCAAGCAGTACAAGGCTTTCTTGCCAAGCCACTCCTGTTGCATTCAGCCCTTCCAGCTAAGGGCCCTTTCACACTGGCTGCAGATTCTGTAACTCCAGTTCCCAGTCTGTATTTCTGCCTCTAACAGCTTCGGCTTTGCCTTTCCCACTTTCTCCTGCTGCTGCAGCATGAGAGACAGTGCGCTGTTTCATGGTTGGTAAATGAGCTGGAGCACCATTCTTCACTGGGTCTGCTACAAACAATCAACAAAAGCCCCACAAATGGAAAAAAGCTCCTTCCTTGGGACAGGGAGAGGAGAGGCCTGGAGAGATCATTTGTTACTCTGAGCAGAGGCAAAGCATGGGGGGGCTGAGGGAGAGGAGGGTATCAGAGGATAGTCAATTCACTGGGCTTGCTGAGAGAGGAAAAGCACCTCTCTGCTTGAAAGAAGAGAATACCTCAGGTATAACTACCAAAGGAAGAGTGCCCAGTGACTGTACTAGGACCAGAATTAGGCTGAATGCTACTCAAAATGCATACTAAATGGTGTTAAAAAATTTAAATTTAATTTCTGATCCCTCTTGTGTTCCTTCTACCTACCCACAATATTCTCACCAACTCTTTCTGGTCTCCAGATTTGCAAGCAACATAAGCAGCATCTTTCTGATATGATGTATTTATATTTACATGGTACATTTTAAAGCAATAGCTACACTGATCATACATATTAGAAACAATAAAAAAAGAAGTTAAGAACTAAAATGTACATCATACACTTGTATATATATTTTTTACACAGAGGTAAAAAGGCTTATAAAAAATCAATACAACAGGGTTTTAACTTTTAGTATATAGATACATAATGATGGAGGCTTCAGGCACTTTAATTTGTTAATGTGAGCAATAGCTTGGAAAAAAAAATCTTTTCACAACAGGAAGAAAAAAAATCCCCCCAAAAACTTTTGGTTAATGTTTTGTTACCACAGATATAAAAATAAAATCTGAATAATTTCTCTCAAATGATTGATGTCAGTATTGCAAAGCTGACTGGGAAAACACTACACACTGTTCAGCTGCAGTGTGGAGATAATTGAGAAATATTTACAAAAACCCCCCCAACCATTTCTATCATTGTGCCCTTGCGCCACTGCCTTCACAAACCAAAGAACATGCGTGGAAGGTCTACAAGTATTACAAAAAAAACCAAGAGGGGTGGGGAAGAATTTTTAAAAAGAGGACATACATAAAGGCTTGGAGTACGCCTACTTTAGTTAAATAAATAGGGGCACTTAAGAGACTTGACAAAAAACTGTAAGATCTCTTCGTAGTGTTGTGCTTTGTAGAGGCAAGACCTTACAGATGTTTGCTTACATGAAACAACTTGCAAAAAAAGGTTGTTCCATCACATCTTTTCGAGTCTGGCTTGATTAACTAGACACCATGGAAAGATTTGTCTTTTGCTATCAGGCACAAAGTATTTGTATTTCATTCAGTGAACCCAGACACATTACCAAGAACAAAACTCCATCTCTTTCTGTCATCATTCATGTTTTCCATCCTACAACCAGCAACTGCTACAAATTAAACTCTACTGAACTCTATAGTATATAAGCACATTGCATACTTAACTGATGGTTTACTAAAAGCTGTGATTAACTCAGAGGAACTGTAGGGCCATTCCAGCAAGAGTGGCAAGCATTTAATTCTATTTGGTAAAAGAAAAAAGAAAAAAATTCTCTTTTAAGACTGATGTCAATGTGCAATAAGAGGGAGGGAAAGGGCATGCACTCACTGGCAATTTACTGCAGAAAGAAATTATGGCAGGAACAGCAGTGCCAGCTTTGACAAGCCAATCCCTAGCTGCCTCAAAATATTCAGATTGTACTATGCTAGTTATAGCTAACTGCTCTAAATCATTTTTTAATAAAAATTATTTGGCTATTCCTTGTAATATATTAGAAAAATACTCTTTCCAGCTAATTACAAGCCTTGTACAGAAGACATGATATTTAAAAAAAAAAACAAACAAAAAAATTAAAGAGTTCTTTTCCTGATGTATGCATTATATAACCACACACATTCACTTGATAAAGCTGGGTGGGATGAGATGGGCTGTGAATAGGAGACACTTTGACCCTGATCCCACAGAGACTTATTCACATGCTTAATTTTACATGTGTGTAAGTGCTATTGAAGTCAATGGAACTACTCACGTGCATAAAGTTGGCATATGCATAAGCGACTGGAGGATCAGGGCCTTTGAAAATGTGAATGGCTGTTCCATTTAGAATTTTCATTTTTAAATACATTTTACTAAGAATTATTTTAACATGTAGATCCCTTTGTGAATATAAAGTTCTCATGCTCATGCATTATACAGAACAAATATTTACATTTTTTTTTCTGTATAATCCACAACCTATTCAGTGTTTCCCCAAATCACTATGGATTATACTACCACTATTGTAGTAGCAATGGCTATCTTGTCAATAATTCCTTACATAACAACAAGTAGCATAATCTTACTAAACTGGAATCTTAGTGTTTTATTCTCAAATAAAATAACCCCAACATTACACGATAATGAAGTGTTCCCTTCCACTGGATAGAATTCCAAAACTAAAGTTTTATTTTTAAAGTTATTTAGAGGGAAAAAAAGCCTAATGTAAATTTAATTTCAAGTATTGGTCTGAAATGAATGCAGCTTGGAGAAGACTCAGATTCTTGATGGCTAAGTATATATGGGAAATGAGCCTTCATTTCAGTTACATTTAAATGGAACATCAGAAATAATTTAAGATGTTTGCCAAAAGAAATGATGATGGACTCTAAAGATAAACTGCAGCTTACATGGCTATTTTGGCTTTAAAAACAGTGACAGCAATACTGTATTGTGGTACACGTTTGTTACTAGCACACCTTCTATACAACGATAGCTGACTTGCAGGTTAAAACATCTTCTGAATGGGATTTATTCCATTACACTATTTCTGAAAGTGCCCAAACTTGCTAGGTATCGATGGTACTGCTCAAACAAGCAGAGGCAAGACAGATTCAACCTAGAGATGTTCTATAATCCACCACCATTTAACAGTTCAATATCTCAAAAGCCTTTTAACTGAAAAAATATAAACATGTACAAGACAGTCTGTTTGATTACAGATTAATATTACAAGAGTCTATGCTGTAGGTTAGTTTGTTAGAACACTGGAGCAATCAATGCACAGTGGCCCCTGAAGACCAAAAGGTAAGCGATCCAACTGCTTTCTGGACTGTTCGGCACACTGGCTGCATCAAAAAAAGCCCTCAAAAAACAAAAACAATTTGAATGCTCCAAACCAATGTGCTCCTTAACTACAGGAAAAACATAACATTTTCAACTTGTCTGTAGTCATCCAGCTGCTTTGTGTTTCCCACCACAGCAACTGCACATAACCCCACAGTGATAACAAGCCTGAAGAGGAAAGTAACAGCACATACATGGGGCAATGAAGGACAAGGCGATAAGGGCCATCCACCGGAGGCAAAACATTTCATCACTGGTGTCACATGAACAAGGGTCTGTATAGTCTCCTTCCGGATCAGACATACAGTGATAGAGCATACTGTCTGCACACCACATACAGCTGACTCGACGGATGCAGCTTCTGCCACGGTCGGGAGCATCCTGACACTGACCCCGTCTGTTTTCCTCATGATTGAACATGTCCCTGCAGTATATGCATCGTGACCTCTCCCCATCTTCCTTCCGTCGTGATTTGACTTTTACTGGTTGAGTCTTTATCACAGTACTCTTTATGTCTTCACCCAGGTCAAACTCTGAGTTGTCCACGTAAGGGTAAGTGTATTCATGTTTTGAGGCATCACTTTTGGCAAAACGTACGTACGAGTCCACATCATCTGTATCGAAGTTCTTCCCTCGTGTTGGAGCATGGCGATAGTCCTCATAACCAGTCATCCAAATCTTTTCTCGAGGATTAATGCGTACAATCTCCTCATCATCATCTGGAAAGCTGACATGTCGATAGGATCTTGATATTGACTGCTAGGAGAAACACAGCAAAACAGATATTTTTCTATCAATAATTAGCAGCAATGTTCAACACTTTTCCTCAAATGTTACCAGAACCTCTCTCACATTAAAAAAAAAAGTCTTAAAAAACAAAACAAACAAACAAAAAAAACAACCCAAAGTATCTTCAGCATTTTTTTCCCCCGATGTCTTTTGGGGACATCACTCAGGCTGAAGATTAGGGTGAACTTTCTGACTATAGGGAGGTCAAGAATTGGAACAGGCTACCTAGAGAAACTGTGGCATCTCTATCCTTGTAATCTTTTAAAAGCAGGTCAGATAGATAGTTGGCTGGGATGGTTTACTTAAGTCAGGGATGAACCTGTCTTGAGCAGAGGACTGAACTAGATGACCTTGGGAGGTCATTTTCAGATTTACTTTCTTATAATCCTATGCTGAAAACAATACATGTTTCTACTTCTTTGTGTTTCACTAAATTTTGATGATGTAGCTTATGAAGCCAGTTTCACTTTGTAGTATACCCCCCCTTCCTGGTAAGGGCTGACTACACCATGAAAGAAAATAGCTTCCAGACTCTATTCAATCTACCTGCAAGGAAAGACCAGGTACTCCCTACTTATCTTACCCATGTGTCCAAGAGCATGTGAGAGATTATGCACCTTACGCTGAAAGCCTATTTACTAGCACAGTGCTGCAATATTCTGTTGCAGACTCTAGAGGTGAACCTTTAAAGAGTTTAATGGAAAACGTAAAAAAAAAAAAAAAAATGCATAGGGGAACTGCCCCCCCCCCTTT